CTTGGGAATGATCACTTCTCCGCCGCACCCCACACCGCGCCAAAACGACGCTCGTCCCACGAAGAAACGACCCGCATTCGCGTCCGGCTGTTCGGTGACTGTGGCAATCTTAGAAAACGTTGCTCGTGAGGGTCAAGTTGATCGAAAGTTGGTTCATGCATGAAAAAAAGGAAAGAAAAACGCACGCAAAAGACTGAAAACGATAAAAAGCAAGTACGATGCGTATAAAAACGTTCGGGTTTCTTAGTTATTCAAAAGCATATGGTTTTTCTAGGTTTCTCAAAAGGTTATTCTACCAAAAGAGCGAGTAAGCGTATACAATATTTACAAATCTAAATGCTCGCAGAAAGTAGAAGTCACGATTAAGCTTCACACAATAATCTGCCTCGACGGGGAATCGAACCCCGGTCCCACTAATTTCCCGTCCGCTGCTCTACCACCATCGCCCTTTGGACATCAGAAGGACAGATACTTAGGTCCATTGGGAAGTGACGAGTGAGTGAGCCAATCTGCAACACCAGGACAGATACTGTGAGTTCATTGGCAATACGTCGCGCACCAAGCAGAAGTCATGTATTAAATTGCGCACCTAATCGTCAGCCCTCGGTAGCTCAGTGGTAGAGCAGCGGACCGGAAGTTAGTGGGACAGGCGTTCGATTCCCCGTCGAGGCAGATTAATTTGTGAAGTTTAATCATGACTTCTACTTTCTACGAACATTACAATGCTCACAAACACCCATAAGAAATCTAAATGCATTTACATTGTACATATTCGAAAACATGAACAGGCTTACGGACCTCCGGACCATAGCGATGGGTCCTGGAAAATGAAAGGTTAGGTTTGGGAGATGCCGGGACGGCCGATGCTAGTAGACCGGGATCATGGTCTGGTCCGACGACACTAGGATGCTGTAAGTTGATGCGGTGAGTTGTGACGTCTCACGAAGCATTGTTAGACGAAGTAGTTAAGGTGGTTTCTTCCGAAAAGGCAAGGTTTAGACGATCGATGGTGACGATTTCGCGTCTGCTACCGCGATCCACTGTGTATGTCTTATTAGTAGGGTGTAACGCTGAAAGGTCCTATGTACGGCAACTGAAGGGGCCACCTAATACCGTCTGCGCGGAGAAGGACGTGTGAACACGTAGACAGCTTCTCAGACACACACTGGTGTGTTCTGCGATCGAGAAGCGGGCAGACGTAGCTCACGCATCTGGTGAGCCAATCGGCCGGTGTAGCTTCCGTAGTCAAAGGAGGAAGTGGATGGGGCCGGTGCCACCAGTTGTTCAGGCAAACGCAGAGTTCAGCCGTAAACTAGCTGCGCTGGCGTTACATCGGTCTTAATCATGTCTCTAAAGTGTAGGAGGATGAGAGGAAGTGTTTAAGACGAGGAAGGATCTGCGTGCGCACGTAGCGCTGCGTTTAAGTGAGGGTGAAAACGCCCTACCATGCCGTTTGCGGCCGGATGATACGTGGTTATCTAGACGTACCGAAAACCTAAATTCTTAAACAGTGTGGCTGAAGTGCATGAGAAATGTGACCCTTGATCGATGGCGGGACAGCCGTACTGAGCTATCCAGCGCACTAAAAATGCTTTTGCTACTGTTTCAGAAAAGCAGTTCGGAATCGGAATAGCATCTGGCCACCTAGTGAATCGGTTGATGCAAATTAGCAGGTATATCGAGCCTTTCGAAGGCAGAAGAGGACCTACGCAGTGAAAACGTGCGTCTGGCGTCAGAAACATGCCTAATGGGCTTTTCGCGTGCTTTTGCACTTCCGCGCGTTGACAAGGAAGGTAAGCAGCCGCCCAAGTATGAAGATCACGATTGACATTGCGTCAAAAGAATCGTGCGGCTAGGAGTTTAGCCGATGCACGAACGCCTGGGTGAGACAAACCGTGCAGCATGCTGAACACGGTCTACCGAGACTCGCGTGGGACGTCTGGGCGCGGCGTACCCAGAGATAAATCGCAAAGTATGGCTCTATCTGATGAGGTCAGCGAAACGTGTCGTGTCGGGGGCATGCGTAGCAGGTCAATCTTAGGATACTTAGGTTGTGCTGCGACTATGGTTGCGGGGTTGACAGCAGTGAGGGCATCAGCGGGGATCGCTTGGATTCGGCAAAGTGCGTCGGCGACAGTGCTGTGTACGCATGGGACATGGTGTATGTCGATCGTAAACTGAGATATAGTCTAGGTGGCGTTAGTCTCTAGGAGAGTATCGGTCGGTAGTCGAGTTGAGCACGCAAGTCATGGGTTTGCGGTCAAAGTAGAAATACTTATGGATGGACTGAACCTTTATTCTGCAATGCACCGGCTCTCTAAGCGTCGTGCTAGTTAGTATAGGGCAGCTGGTCGAGTTAGGGTCATGTAATCTACAGATCGCTTTCAAGTAGCAGAATGTAGGTAGCAAAAGGAACAGAGGCGGCCTCGCATGGTCTGATGAGCAATACCATGGAGCTTACATAGTGATGTGAATCGCGGCCGATTAATATGAAGAGGAAGATGCCGTAGCTCACGATCTCGGTATGTCACCGTAACCGAATTCACCTGAGAAGGTAGCAAGAATAGCACAGGTCACGATGAGTACAACAGTGTAGCAGACAACACGTGAAGTAATCGCGAAATACAACGGAGTTAAGTAAACATAATATAAGGTAGGTTAGATGTGGCTCTTCTGTCTTACACAGGTGTAATAAAGATAATTCCCGCTGCCTTGCAGGTTAGGTTTTTATGATTCAAGGCTCGGGGTGGGATCACTTAAATCAACCCTCTTCCTCGACCTGGGCAACTAGGAAGACCTCTGCCCACACAACACATTAACCTTGTAAACCTTCCAAGCCTTTATACCGTCTACCTGTTTTCCCCTTTTCGTTGTCGGTGTTGTTAACTATGTGTTGTGGCACTGTCAATTGTATATTGGTCAGGTGTTGGAAAAATAATAAAGTTAATACATTGCACCGTCCATGGCTAATCATTCTAGAGTGAAACTGTACCCAAACGCGACTTACATGCGCGATAGAATAAGGATGACACAAAGAAGTTGACGGAGATGGAGTAAGAAACTTTACAAGTTAGCAGAGAAATGGTGCGATTAAGTCCACTGATTTTTATAAGCTCAGCTAAGTTCAAGTCCGTGGTGAAAGAACGGGAATTATAGCTATGCTCACTCTAACGAGGAAGTAAAAGCACAGTGGTACAGTGATGACTTGTTGTTGGTGTGTGCTGTGAATGCCGTCTCATATATGATTAACTGCAGGCTATCCGTGTCGGAAGGTAAACCAGAGTCGCGAAAAGAAACAGTTATGTGGAACCACCAGGCAGTCAGTCGTGTGTTAATATTTATTGTCCCCTTGATCACTCCTACTGAGCGCTAGCATTTCTCGACCAATTCATCAATACCGAGAATGCTACCTGTGTCCAAGCATTTCGATTGAGATGTCACATCGTGTTGCCGCTGTCCCGGAATCAAGATTGATGAATTGTCTGAATCACAGTGCGTATGTTTGAAGGCGGCAGCAGTACAAGGGAGCGTATAGATGCATTTGACATGGACTACATTGCAAAACCCGTGATAAATCCCGGTGTCACAAGAGATGAGATGTAATAAGATTCATCTGTCAAATGGGAACGTAACGAGACCCGATTAGATGTTAGCGCTACCTGTAATTTGGGCGCGTTCCAGTTAGACATCGAGCCATTAGCTAATGGTCAAGCGTGTGAGAACGCGATCAGTCTGTCAAGCGGAAATGTGACGCTTACAAGTGTTTCTAGATGGCCTCCACTTAGTCATTCAACATGGTGACGAGCACCGCCCTCTGCGAGTAGAGATATCAGTTTGCATACAAAAGGTCCCGGGTTCGAGTTGCAGTTTTGCACTGTTGCGGGCGGGCAATTATTCACACTTGTGTAAGGACTACCACAAACTGAATGGAGAAACAGTAAACCTTAGGAGCAATAACACTAAGAACGTGCATGAATTTGGATTGAAGGTAACAATAACAGCCATATTCCTATGGTTTTGGAAAATCGCACGTACAATTATAAGCAACCAATACGACTGTCAGTGGTTAGTTAACGTTTGGACGTGAACCTAAATGGCAGCTATAAATGTAGTCAGAAGCGTGGGCATCAACAATAGACAGACAGAGATAGAGGAATAGGGAAGCAAATGTCATCAATGCGGTTACCAGGTGGAATTATGCATCAATAAGAGGTATCGTAAAACAGTGGTGACTTATCGTTAGTGTGTTCTGTAGACGCCGTCTGCTATATGTGAAGTTGGGCTTGCAGAGCTGATGGTGGTCGCACAGCGTGTGAATGCGACGGGTTGTTAGCCGCAGTTATTGTGTCCTCGACGCCTAGGACTGGACCGATCCGATCGTCTACTATCCGAGGTATGTGGGGATATCCAAGGGACGTATTTTGCACCAACTTAACCGTTGGAAGACGGTAATGTCGCAGATTCTTTGATGGCCTCTTTGACGCGACCACAGCAATAATACAGCAGCAATGCCGCTGCTCCCTGTTCAACATACGGCTTTCGAAAAAGTGTTCAAACTAATGTAGCAAATCTCCAAGAAGTAGCTTGGCTATCACCCAATTGCTCAATCGTAAACAGATGTAGCTGTAGAGTCTACTGTGGTGAGAAGTTATTTAATAACAATTTGTCATCATACATCTTGGTTGCAGCCATCCTGCGCTACTATCGCACCTACACAGTCGAACTAAACTACTTCTAAGTCAATCGAGAATATTGGCCATTTCCAATTCAAATTCTAGCAGGTGCCTTCGCTCTTCCGCCTCTAACCTGGATGGTAGCTGTTTTTTTAAGCGCACCACACTTCAGTATAACGGGTAAACCACGGAAAATATAGCTACACTTATTCTCATGACTAATATGTGGAACAGAACATGTAGTATCAACATCATAGAAATTGCTAGTCAGTTACTTCCCGAGATTGTTCATCCTACACGGATGAGCCAACGTGTGGACACTTGCAACGAAAGTTGTTGGGCCTTGAACCCCGAACATGCAAACTGCACTCCAAAGAAAGGAAACGGTGTAGAGCAATTGGGCTCCACTGCACCCAATTCTTCACATGAATGCATGAGCGGTCTGATATTCGACATGAGCAACACTCACATGGACGTTTCAAGGTACACTGAGGTCACTAGCAGTATTAGTAGCGCTCAGGTCTGACATTGTGCGAAGACAACCGTCTGTTTCTTTCGAGCACTAACTTCAGACGTACGAAGAAGCGTTCCGCAACGTGGCGTCCCCCTTCTTCAACACAACCGTTGTTTCAAATTGATCACATTGCAATTAGCTTCAGATGGCGCGGCAGCGTACTGAACTGCAGGTCCTTTTGGTCGTCCTTCGTTGACTCAGATCATGCTCTAGTCTGCGCGAAAATCTGTATGTGTTTTGGAGGATCCCGAAACACGAAGCACCGCAAGATTGATGTAAACAGATTAACTGATTTCGCTGTCCAGGCGAGCTATCTGGCATATGCACTCAGACGCAATCCACCGCAAGAAGTGGAACAACACTGGATTTGTATACGGAAAGCGATGACCATTTCCGGACAGTCATGCTGCGGCCTAACTCGACGCTTCTTGAAGGCGTGGATCTCTGCTCGTTCTCTGGAGCTGTTCGAACGCCGCAAAGATATCCCCGCGGAATCAGATTGCAACGAGCGGCGCCGTTCTGCCAACCGGATGCTCAACCAAAGTCTACGCAAGGATCTGGAGACATGGTGGTCTGAGCGTGCTTTAGAGATGGAGACCGCTGCCCTCTCTGGCAACACCCGCAGAGTTTTCCAACTCATTCGGTCCAGTGGTCTCAGGAATCCTGGTGTCAGTGAGGTCATTTGTGAGGTGGATGAGTCTCCGATCACCAACCAACAGAGGCGTATGGACCGCTGGGCCGAGAACTTCCACTCGCAGTTCAACTGGCCTCCACCATTCATCAGTACATGCTGTACACTTTGTTGTCCACCCTGGCTCGTCCCACTGAATCCACTGCCTCGAGATTCAACGATTGAAACGCTTCAAGGCTGCCGGCTTAGACGGACTTCTTCCGGAGCTATTCAAGTACGGCGGTGTGGCGATCATTAACCAGCTAACCGCGCTGTTCGCAAAAAATTTCGCATGAAGAGAAAGTGCCTTCCTCTTGGGGCGAATCAGTTACTGTCCCAATTTTCAAGAAAGGCGCTCGCACTTCATGTGCAAATCATCGCGGGATTAGTCTTATTTCGGTTGCCTCTAAGCTATTGACATCCATTCTGCTTCGCAGGCTATCCCCAGTACGTGAATCATACTACCGTGAAGAACAAGCTGGTTTCCGTCCTGGCCGCGGATGCGTGGACCAAATCTTCACGCTCCGCCAGCTCCTCGAACATCGCCACATTTATCACAGGCCCACTATCGTTGCATTTCTAGACATACGTGCCGCTTTTGACTCCGTTGATCGACCTGCTTTATGGTCTTGCTTGCTAAAGAAAGGGGTGCCAGAGAATAATACCGCCATCTTACGAGCACTTTACCTTCGTACATGCGGCAGAGTGAGGGTCTATGGCAAGCTTTCCTCGCAATTCGCTGTCAATAGCGGTGTGCGACAGGGCTGCCCTATGTCCCCATTCCTCTTCAACTTCGCAATCGAAGACGTTTTGTCGAATGCTCTAGAAGGTTTCCAACATCTTAGCCTAGAGCTTCTAACGGGTGAGCGCGCGACCGACTTAGATTATGCTAATGATATCGCCTTACTTGATGACGATCCTCAGGGTATGCAACTCATTCTGAATCGTTTGGCGGTTGAAGCATCTAAATATGGCATGAGCTTCACCTGATCGAAGTGTAAAGTACTGCTCAAGGATTGGCTTTCATCTGCTCCTGTGCTCACTCTCGAAGGTGCACAACTTGAACAAGTGGATAGTTTCATCTACTTTTGGAGCTGTGTTTCTGCCGATGACACTATCAGCAAAGAAGTTTCTCTTCGCATCGCTAAATCCCGATCGGCATTTGCCAATCTGACGCACTTGTGGTATTGTCACGACGCCTCATTCTCGCTAAAGGACCGCGTTTACAGCGCATCTGTTCAATCAGCGTTGTTGTATGGGAGCGAGTCCTGGCCGATTCGCGTGGAAGAATTGCGTCGTCTTTCTGCCTTCGATAACGGTTGTTTAGAGAATCGCTCGTGTTTGGTGGCAACATCAAGTTAATAGTAATGACGTTCGACGTCGCATCTTGGGGAATGCGAGTATTTCCTTCAACAAACTGGTTTTGTTGCGGCAGTTGAGATGGCTCAGTTACGTCCTGCGCATGGCACCTGAGCGTCTACCGCGTCGCACTCTATTCGCTCGTCAAGGACCTGGCTGGAAGCGACCGCGTGGTTGTCAGCCTTCCACTTGGCAGCAGCACATGAAATCGCTGACGTCGTGTCTAGCCGCTGTTGGATCCGTACGTCTTCCAGGATGGGGACCCAAAGATGAGGAGTGCCAATGGCTTAGCACTCTTGAAGACATGGCCCGCAACCGGAATCAGTGGAAGAATTGTGTACAGTATTGTATTGATTAACATGTTTAATACTACAAACATTGAAAATGACAAAAAAGAGAAAAATCGGCGTGTGAAAAACAAATTAAAAATGTTTGTTCTACTTTTTGTCAAAATGTTCCATTCTTCCTGCGGCATATTAGCTGAAGTGTGTTGCTCACCTTCGACTACCATGCCACGATGATTATGACGCAGTGACTTCCCCTTATCTGCTAATCGCCATGGCTTTGTTGGCTCTATGTCTAGTTGCTAGGCTGTTGAGATTACATACATACAGGTCTGACATTAGGTCAAGGTGGTCTGTGAAACTCGAATGATTGAGACTGCAAAGCATCACTTTTGCCGTACCGGTTGAGCTCCGGTCACTGTGTGGATACTGGAACCCCGTGAGGAAAACCAAGCAATCAACAACAGCAGTACACCAGCCACCTCAACTGATGCTTCGCTGCCATACAACCAAGACGACCCATGGAATAAAGAATAAGAAGAGGGAGAGAATGGGGACTTACCTGGAAACTTTAGTGCCCTAAGCAAACATTCAGTGTCAAGGCGATTACACCTTGTGTTAACAACATACCGTCATAAGCAGCTGGCTATCATGCAACGATAAGGCGGCATCAGCGAGACAGCTTCCTTGTGGTTTTCAATGCACCGCGCCATAATCAGCCATTACCACGCAGATAACTCAACATTAAACACACTTTAAACAGGCAGTCCGACTAGGAAACGGCAGCAGATACGCTACTGGTGTCGACTGCGAGCCATGTCCTCGAGAGTCTCGAGCCAAGCACAAGGCGGGTCACGTGGACTCGAGTCCGGAAGGCGAGACGGACCAACGGCACCCAGTCTAGTCGTCAGTAACTTCATTTACCGGTGCCAAGTCAACCTTTGTCCACCTCGAGCCTTGAGTAACCCTATATCTGAGAGAGTAAACAAGGCCCTCCTAGGTGAGCGGTAAACAGACATATGTAGTACGTGCCCAAGCCAACGCAACTTATCCAGTGCTATATATTGTCCTAAAGAACTAGCTTGGTTATCACTGCCTAGTACTCACCTACGCACACCAGACACCAGCAGTGCTCCGTAGACAACAATGATCGAAGACTTGAATGCGTCCCAGATCTTCAGACTGAACGGGCCAAGTCTCACTCCCATAGAGCAGGACGGCCCTCACTGTGACCTAGTAAACACGGCCTTTCAGACGGAGGGAAACTCTCTTCGGTCGCCAAATATGTCGCGGGTACAAGAAGGCAGTTCTGGCCTTTGCAATGCGCGAACTGACTTCAGTTTCGATGCGCCCATTGTTGCCGACGCAGCTGTCAAGGTAAGTGAATTGATCAACCACTTCGAGTTCCTCGTTAGGAAGCGTCAAGGGGTCATAAAGTGGATGGTGGTCTTGCAGCAACACTTGCACTTTGAAAGTGCGAAGCGCATACCAAATAATGGGACAACTGTAGACAGGCTATTCAGGGTTGATTGTGCCGCCGCAACATCGTTAAATAACGGGACGATATCGTTCGTAAATTCATGATCAAGTAGTCTTTCAACAGGCAGGACCTCGACACCCGGATCATGAGATTCCATGAGGGAACACCTCATGATGAAATCCACGACGAAATTGAACAAAATTGAGGAAATCGGACAACCCTGACGAAAGTCACTTGTGGTCGGAAAGCTATCCCACAGGTCATCGCAGACCCTGACGCGGCCTGTAGTGTTCCAGTATAGAGCATGAAGGATGTTCACATATTTCGTGGGAACACCTTTCCGCGCAAGTATTTCGAACAGAATGCATCGGTCGACCGAATCGAACACACTTGAAGTCGAGGAATACAGTTATCGTCGGTCTGCGGTATGCGTGGCGCTGCTCTAGCACCTGTCGCAGTGAATATATGGTTTAAGCAGCCACACTCTGGACGGAAACCTGCCTGCTCTTCGTTAATCCGTGATTCTCGCTCCGTGAACGAGAATCGACGTCAGTAATTTTGACACAATTGGCGTTAGGCTAACACGCCTGTGGTTAGCACAATCTGTGAGACTGCCCTTCTTGTATATTGAAACTAGAATCGATTCACTCCAGTTAGCCGGGACATTCTCTTTCTTCCAGATATGCTCGAATAGGGAGGTCAGTGCTTTGCAGAGGATCTCACTTCCATTCTTAAATAGTTCAGGTGACAGAGATTCCGGGCCAGCAACACGAAAACGATTGAGGGTTGTGATCGCGTTTCGGACCTCAGCCTCCGATGGAACCTCTAATCTAACCGGCCATGGCTCCTAATGCATCACCTGAGTAAGAAGAGGCCCAGGTGCAGGTGGCCAACCGAAGTGATCTTGAAAGTGTTCTGTCCAACGAGCCATACGGCGCTCCTTATTGTGTATCAGAGTACCCGTGCTATCCCTGAATGTCTCACTGACGCCTGGTTTCCTAAGACCGGTGGTGCGCATCAGCTGGAAGAGCTTGCATACTGCTCCCGCCTCCACCATTTTTTGAGCACGACTGGTTCACCAGGCTTTCTTGTCAGCACGTAGTCTCTGTTTTAGTTCACGCCTAATAGTCCGTCAGGTCACATTGTCCTCAGAGCCAGCTGGGAGTTTTCTTCTGGATTCTAACAGGTTCACCGACTTCGCGGATTTCCAGTGACTAGTGCGGTGACGATTGAAGTTTTCACAAGCACAGGCTCCCGCGTCATGCATGGCTGCGAGATCCTATTCCACTGAGGCTCAGTGTCATTAGGACAAGGAAGCAGAAGTTCGGTACCCAGTGCGTCCTGATAGGCTTGTCTGACCGAGGGCTGAGACAATTTTTCCGTTGCCAATCGAGGGAGACACTTGGTGTGCCTCCCGGTAAAGTTCATGGAGAAACGACAGCGTACCAAAGCATGATCAGAGTTGACGCAGGTATCAAAGTACGAGCGGCAATCTAGGAGGGAACCACGCTACCTGTAACTTATGGCAAAATGATCTATTTGGGTCCATCGCTGGCCAGTTACAGGAGGACATCAAGTGGCACTTCGGCGCCAACTGTGTCTAAAAACGGTGCTACTCAGAAACAAGTGGTGCTCCGCACACAGTTTCAACTGACGCTAGCCGTTGTCAGTCGGTTTGAGGTTGAGTCCATAAGTACCCCCTAGCTGAGCTTCTGGAGAGCTCATACGCCCTACTTGTACGTTCATATCCGCTGCAAGTACTATGACGTCTGGACTAGTAACACTGCGTAGTAGAGCGTTCAGTCCGTGATAGAATCTGTCCTTGGCAGCATCAGGACTGCAGTCGGTGGCAGCATAAGCGGAAACCATAAACAAGCAGCGTTTTGTACTACTTCGTGAATCAACCTTAGCTGATGTTGTCAAACGGGCAGCACATAGACGGCTGTTCACCGAAATCCAATCAACCAACAATGGCTCAGCCTTGGAAGTGAGTATGATACCTATCGCAGCTTGATCCAGGAGTGCTGCATTAGCGTCTCCGAATGCGTGCAACCAATAGCGAGCCGGGCGCAGTTAATTCAGCAACCCCATTAGGGTCATTGATCCTAGTTTCGGACACACACAACATAAGTCAACACCCAGTGTGCCCAAGGTGCGTACGAGTGCAGCCTGTTGACCTATTTGTCTTAGAGTGCGAACGTCGCCTTGGAAACGGGACAGCGTGGCCTTGTAAGAATTTGTTGCCGATAAGCGTCCGGTGCGAGTCGCGAGGTGGCTGTAAATGGTTCTACTCCATTGGCAGTTCAGTTGCTGTCAATTAAGCTGGAAATTATGGAAGGAAGGTTAGTAATGGGGTCGGGATGGGAGTAAGAGAAACAGGTGGAAAAGAAAGAAGGGAGGCGCCAGCAGTAGCATGTTTTCGCTTATCCGCCCTGCTGTATGCAGCAGATAAGGCGACCCCTGATAATCTGCGCGACGGCCGATGCAGGATGTAGTTAGAGTTTGGAGAAATTGTCACGGTTGTATGTGGGCTG